TTTAGTTTAAAAATATAAAAACCAAACAGCCTACAGTATTTTTACAGTCTTTATTTTACAGTTAAAACATATGTTTATTAAAAAAAGTCTAATGTTACAACTAATCGGGGATCCCTTTAAATACTCCTACTTCATTATTAGAGTGTGTTTTTACAGCTTCTACAAGCTAAGGAGTTGACAAAGAGCTGAGAAAAGGTTAAATAAATATTCAAAGTCAAGCTGACAAAAATAACATTTGTCTTGCTTTCTTCTTAACTACTTGTGCAAAATAAAGTCATTAAAACTCAACTGAATCCATTTGTTCCTACAAGGCTGGAGTGGTGCAGTTTTATGAAAATACGATTGTTAAGTGCACTTCTTTCTAACCGCTCTTTAACAACCTCTCACTGAAAGTCAAGAAGAACAATTCTGATTTTTCCTAGAACTATATCTTAAAAAACACCTTTCTGTGTGTTCGTTTCTGTTAGATTTTCAGTGTGGATTAATAACACGAGTTTTATACATAATTCATGTCAAACTTAACATTTTAAAATTCAATTCTGTACATTTTTAACCTTAATCTTAGGTTGTGTGAAAAGAGGAATCAAGTTAAAAAATGATCCAAATCCATTTATAAAATGTTTGATTTTTGTTTATGTAATGTTTCCTGCAGTGAAACAATAAGGTTCCATCTTCTTTTGTCTGATTATGAACATGATCTACTAAATATTAAGTTTGATCATTTTGAACTTATATAGTGACATCCATCCATCCATCCATCCATCCATCCATCCATCCATCCATCCATCCATCCATCCATCCGCTTCTTCCTTTCAGGGTCACAGGGGTCACTGGTGCCCACATCCATCAGTCACAGTGCGAGGGGCGGGGCACACCCTGGACAGGTCACAAGTCCATCACAGGGCCACACATAGAGACAAACAAGACAAACAACCACTCACTCTCTCACTCACACCTAGGGACAATTTAGAGTTAGCAATTAACCTAAAGCGACAATTTACCTCAATTTTCAGTTTTCACCTGTCTGTTTATTAAGCAGTAAAAACAGGTATGTGATTTTGACTAAACTGTATTTGGAAACAAAACATTTTTATTTTATCAGCCACATGGAGGCAGTGCTTAAAAGCCTGAATTTTGCCTGAAACTCTCAGACTGAAGAAGTCTCTTGGAGGAGAGACGAAACGTTTCATTAAAGAAGAACATCCAGAAGACCTATATAATTTTTTTCTTTTTAGGAATGCCAACTTTGCGTTTCTGAAGGCAGCCAAAGCTCAAACTTTTGAGAAACAATGATGACATAGCCTCCCCTCTAATCTTATCCACAACCTGAAGAGGTTCTTGTGTTGTTATGTTCACATTTTGCACCCGCATGCAAGCTTTATTAGCACTTTCCACGCCTTGTTTCTTGTTTTTGGTATATTTTCTTGGCAGTGTCACAGCACCACATACAGGCCTGCCATAGTTACTGCAGCATTTTTGACATTTTTACATTGTTTTTGGTGTTTCCATATGAATTAAGACATTTCTAGAAATG